GTCTTATGCTATTAAGTATTTGTAATAGTAGGAAATTGGATGCAAATCACATCCAAATTGGTTTCCAAAAAAGTTCTAATCGAATAAGGAAAGTTGCTTTCGCGTGCGGATTTTTTGTCTCTGCACAGCAGTCAGTAATTTAGTTATAAATTTCTCTTCCGATATCTGATTTAGATGATTCAAAATGCATTAAAAAGATAGTAAAGAGATAAAACTTTGTTATAAATAGCTCTTTTCCAATTTGGACTTTTACTATGCCAAAAATGAGTCTCAATTTTTCGCTAAAAATTTGGAACATATCTTGTGCGAATTGGAAATTGATTTTGATAATATTCCATTCCTTTTTGACTTCTAATTGCTTCCAATCGACCGTTAGCACTCTCGAACCTTCATCGTGATCCCCGACATAATTTTTGAGTATTTTTACTTTAATCCCTGAACTTTCACTTTCTTACATTTGGTCATGTTTCACGTGTTTCTCCTTATTTCCGCTACATTCATCACTTGTCTAGCAAAACATGAATTGCCTAGAACTAAACTATATTCCAACATATTAATCAACAATTGCTCACGTTTTGACAGTAAAATAAGTATGTAAAAACGTACTTATCAGGGACCGTCGTTTCTTTTCCAGATGGGGAGAAATGAAACTATACATAATTTGGTATGTTAGGGATCTTAACCAAAAATATCTTTATAAATTGCTCAATTAGAGTTCACATAATCCCCCTAATTATAACAATATTGGTATCAGTTAACCCATGTTTGTTAAATAGCTAATAAAAGTGAATTAAATTTGTTGCCATTAAATAGAAAAAATCATTGATTTTCCTAACCTCCTAAATAATTTAGAAAACCGTTGGTTTTCCTAACATAATCATTCCATATTATAATATTCAGTGATGTTAACCACAATAAAAACTTACGAGATTGATTGGAAGAATTATCTTTTTTCTGCAAAAAAGAACACAATAAATAGATCCAATTCTAAGAAAATATAGCATATAGCATTCTGTGAATCAGGGTTGTAAATGCTTTCCTTAATCAGCCCATTCATAATTAATTTTGAATAGGGAACAATACATAACTAAGAG